GATATTACCAACATATTGTGTTCACAAGGCTAAAACCACGTTTTGTGAGGTCACCGTGACCTTTGACCTTTAGCTACTAAATTATAATCAATTTGTCCTTGAGTCTAGATGAATGTTTTTACCAAATTTGCAGAAGTTCTGTCGAGGTGTTACTGAGATATTGTGTCGAAAACAACGTGGCTGCCGCTCTGACTGTCGCCGGCGCCGAGGAATAAAAGCAACGAGCGCTGAAACGTTCTCAGCTGTTCAGTTCTTATCGAGAGACACGAGACACTGTATGTAACAACACGCCTGATTGGACCGTGTGTTTGACTGTGTCCCCGCAGGCGGCGTGGGGCGGAGGCCTGCTGATGTCACACAGACACAGGATGAAACTACAGGGCATCGAACGGTGACTGCACCAACACACGACACACTGCCCACATCACACACGCCTTCAGCCTCTGCTGGCGCCGCAGCTCCCTCTGAGCTGCGGCGCCAGCCGTAAGGTTTGTGCCGAACAGACCAGGTGAACACACGTGATGTAACGTCACGGAGCCTCGTTCATTATGTCCAATGAGAGGGGGGTTTCCCGGGGCATTGCTCTGGGGCGCCCCCTGGTGGCCGCAGCCTGGTGTCACATTGACTCTGTGGGAGCTGCTGCTGTTTCAGGGCGTCACTCTGACCTGTCGCTGTTTCCATCCAGAGCCTCGTCTGTGACGTGGAATCCTCACAAGATGATGGGCGCGCCGCTGCAGTGCTCCGTCATCCTGGTCAGGAAGAGAGTAAGAGACGATCCTCCGCCCTTCGCTTTAACGCTCAGTATTAAACACCAGGCTGGGCTCAGGTGCAGCAGTCTGTCAGGCTTACAATACAAAACTTAAATAAAAAACCAACTTCACGCAGCTTCAACAACAACAACAACAACAACAACAACAATTTCACATTTCATACACAGAAATATTTGTGTTTGTGCTCAATGTTTCCATCAGCTTCGTTCAGTCCCTCCTGGATTTGGCAGCTTTTCTTTAAAAATCGCAAAAAATAATAATTATAATAATAATAATCATTAAAAATGGAAGAGAAGTTGCTGCAGGGAGAATAAATCCAGGTGAGTGCAGGTGATGAGCCAGACAGCTCCGTCTGAATCAGCTGATCTTTACCTCATCAATATATTCATTTATAACGTGGAGCTTCTGTGTGTGTGTGTGTGTGTGTGTGTGTGTGTGTGTGTGTGTGTGTGGGGTCGGTGCTTCACACGATCTTTAACAGTGATGTCACACACGTCTGCAGCTTCACAACATGAAACTAGGAAGTGAGTTTGGTGACATCATCAAGGTTCTGCTCAGGGACTGGTGTGATTGGTTGAACTGGAGGGGAACTCTGATTGGTTGAACTTGGACGTGTGTGTCCTCTGCAGGGCCTCCTGCAGGAGTGTAATGAGTTGGGGGCTGAGTACCTTTTCCAGACGGACAAACCGTACGATGTGAGCTACGACACCGGAGACAAGAGCATCCAGTGCGGCCGACACGTCGACGTCTTTAAACTCTGGCTCATGTGGAAGGCGAAGGTACGGGTGTAACTCCAGTGAGGCTCCTCCCTCTCACGCTCGTCCCGTGAATCTGTTGGTCTACTTTCTTTGCTCCAGTCCAGCTGGTGACAGACGGGCTGGAGGCTCGGTCTGCTGCAGAGCATCAGCTCTTCTTCTTATTCCCTTTAACGTGTGTTTGGACCGTCGTCCAGCTGCTCCAGTGACGAGCTGCTGTCACCGATTTAACTGGATTTAACTTCACTCACCTCTGATTCTACTTAACTAAATTAACTTATCTTAAATATTAATCTAGTCTGTCTCTCCCTCCCTCTCTCTCTCTCTCCCTCCCTCTCTCTCTCTCTCCCTCCCTCCCTCTCTCTCCCTCCCTCTCTCTCTTCTTCCCTCCCTTATCTCCTCCTCCTTCTCCTCCTCTCCTCTCCTCATCTCCCTCCCTCCTCTCCTCTCCTCTCTCTCTCTCTCTCTCTCTCTCCCTCTCTCCCTCTCTCTCTCCCTCTCTTCTCTCTCTCCGTCCTCCCTCTCTCTCCTCCTCTCTCCTCCTCTCTACTCCCCTTCTCCTCTCCTCTCCCTCCTCTCTCTCCTCTCTCTCCTCTCTCTCCTCTCTCTCTCCCCTCTCTCTCCCTCCCTCCCTCCTCTCTCTCCTCCACTCTCATCTTCTCTCCCTCTCCTCTCCTCCCTCTCTCTCTGCCCTCCTCTCTCTCTCTCTCTCTCTCTCTCTCTCTCTGAGTGTGTGCTGGGAGTGGAGGTCGGTGAGAGTGTGTGAGTTTTCCGGGTAAAAAGTCGGTTTTCTCTTTCTTTTTTTCTTACTGTGTGTTATTGTTTGGTAACTGGTTTAATTGTATGGTGTTTAGTTAGTGTTTGGTGACTGTTGGTGGTTTTTGTTGGGTGTTTTTCCGTGTTTCGTGGCGGGGATGGCGTCCTCTGAGACGCCGTCCCTGTCGTTGAGACATGGAGTGAGGCTGGTGCCGCGGCCCAGCTCCACCGTGGAGCAGGTGCTGCTGGCGGTGGGAGAGCAGGTGGGCCACGGCAACATCTCGTACGCCTCCCGTATGAACAAAG